CAGTGCTATAGAAAGAAGGAGAGAAGGGCTCATGCTGTGCCTTGGATCCCTGCAGCCACGAGCTGGCATTGTCCTTCCCTTCCCATGGCCCCCTTACTCTTGGAGACACAGTTACTGCTGCCATCTTCATACACTTTGCACTGGGTCCCCGAGGGGCACTGGAAACTTTGGCACTGAAAGAGCCCTCCCTTGCATGCACAAATCTGGGTACAGTCAGAGGAGATCCATGACTGGCCAGGAAGCAGAAGCCACAGAAAGGAAAAGAGAGAGAGAGAACGTAAGGGCTGGGTCTACCGGACAAGTTTAGCTTTCTGTCTGAGGGTCTTACATTTGCCCTCTATATCTGCAGGTTCCATATCTACTGAGTCAACCAACTACATATAACATTTTTTAAATTGCCACTGGGACTGTGGGCATAATTGAGCCTAACTAGAATGCTCAGGGAGGGGATGGGAGCATGGCTTAGTGCTAGAGCAATTGCCTAGGACTCCTCAGTGAAGCGCTGTGGGTGTGACCCAGTAGTAGTTAGAGTACTGGCCTAGAGCCCTCAGTGAGGTGTTGGGGGTGCTGCCCAGTGGTTGGTACAGTGCTTGTTTAGACTCATCCAGTGGGCATTAAAGGCGTGGTTCAGCGGAGGAGTAACTGTCTAGAATCGTCCACTCAACACTAGGGCATGCAGTTCAGTGGTACAGCATTTCCCTGGCACATGCTAAGACTCTACCAACCTTCAAATCCATGGGCTAACCATATGAGTAAGAGCGTCCAGAGAGACAGAGAAAATGGAAAAGCAGCCCTAATCCTACTCTTAAAAATCTAGGTGTGCATGAGCGTGCATGTGTGTGGGCATACATCCATGGCGAGGGTAGATAATTAGGTTTGTTTCTGGCCTTCCACTTTGCACCAAGACAAGATTCATTCTGCCTCTCTCTGTCTTAGTGCTGTTATTCACTGTTTGTGTACTACCAGAGTTGGCACCCACATTTCTTGGGATTTTCCTGGCTTCACCTCCTATGGCATAGTAGGAAAACTGAGATCACAATCAGTTGTGCCCAGCTTCCATGGGTAGTGGGAATTCAACTCAGGTTCTCACATTTATGAAGCAACTCAATGAGCCAACTCCTATTCCCTCATTGCATTCTTCATGCCTGCTCACCTGGATGAGGTTACCCTGGGAGAGTTTGCAGGCACAGTGAATTCTGAGCATACACTTGTTGTTTTGCAGCACGTAGCCAGATCGGCAGACACAGCCCTCCTTGCAGGTGGAGGGGGCTTTGGGGCTGGAGCCCTTGCAGAGGCCCTCTGGGTCCAAGCAGGAAGGTAGACAGGAGGGAAGGCAGTTGGTATAGAAGCTGTGGGCCGGGCATTTCAGAGCTTTGTGGTGGAAAGAGAGTGGCATTAGTGTAGAGAACCAGAGGGGGCCCAAGGAAGCAGAGGCCACATTAAATAGGGTGGGTAGAACAACTAAGAAACTTTAGGGCTTTCTCTGCTCCTTTTGTTATTTATCCCGCAAATGTTTACTGAGTGTGGACTGTGTGTCTCCCCAGAGAACTAAGTTACTTCTTGCCCTTTCTCTGATTCTGCCACCCATGAGCACAGACCTCCATCTTCCCCCATGGTTTCCTTACCACTCGTGACACAGCTACTGCTGCCATCTTCATAGAGCTGGCAATGGGACTCTGCTGGGCACTTGAAGTCCCGACACTGAACAGCCCCTCCCTTGCAGGCACAACTCTGGATACATCCTCTGGAGATCCACGTCTTGCCTTCCTGTAGAAGCCACAAGAAGAGGACAGAAGTGAGGACAGCAGTGACGGGTTTACTAGCTGTCTGGGGGACTTACATTTGCTATCCCTGTATGCAGGCTCCACCTCTACTCAATCAACTGTGGGTGGAAAATATTTTTAAAAGAATTACAACTCTGGCTGTGGGTACATTTTAGCTTGTCTACAATCCCCAATGAACAGCAGTTCAATGATAGAATAATTGCCTAGAATCCCCAAGCAAGGGGATAGGGTGTGACTCAGCAGTAGAGCACTGGTCTAGCATGTGCCAAGAATGGACCAACCTTCAACTCCTGGGCATGATGTGGCAAGTCAGAGAAAAGGAGAAAATGGCTCCCAAGCCCATTTTTTATTTTATTTTTTAAATTTATTTATTATGTATAGTGCTCTGCCTGTAGGCCAGATGAGGGCACCAGATCTCATTATAGATGGTTGTGAGCCACCATGTGGTTGCTGAAACTGAACTCAGGACCTCTGGAAGAGCAGCCAGTGCTCTTAACCACTGAGCCGGCTCTCCAGCCACTCCAAGCCACTTTAAAAAACTGTGTGTGCACATTTGTGTTCAAGTATGTGTGTGGGTATGCACATACCCTGAAGGTCTGAAGATGTGCTCAGTGTTGGTCCTTGCACTCCAAACCTGGCACTGAAGCAGGCTCTCCCTGCCCACCCTCTCTCCGCCCATCTTGGCTTTGATGATGTTCACCACTATGTATACCAGAATGTTTGGCCTGCAAGTTTCTGAGGGTTGTCCCGTTTGTACCTCCCATATTTCAGTAGGAGCTCTTGGACTACACAGACTACTGTGTCCAGTTTAAATGAATTATGGGGACTTGAACTGAAGTCTTCACCCACTGAGCCAACTCCTTAGCCCTCACTAATTCCATTTTTCATGCTCACTCACCGGGATGAGAGCACCCTGGGCATCTTTGCAGCCACACTGGATTCTGAGGATACACTTGTCATTACTCAGCACATAGCCAGATTGACAGAGGCAGCCTGCCTTGCAGACGGCAGGGGCTTTGGGGCTGGTGCCCTTACAGTGGGCATCAGGATCCAAGCAGGAAGGTAAACAGGAGGGAAGGCAGTTGGTGAAGCGGCTGTGGGCGGGGCATTGGAAGGCTGTAGGATGGGAGTGGAGCAGTGTTAGTGGGGAGGCCTGAGAACGATGACAGAAGCAGACGCTTCAGAAGCCAGGCTAGGATGAATGACTGACAGAGCTTGTTTGTGGGGTTTTCCTCCTTTTATTATTCATTCAGCAAACCGGTAGGAAGAGTGGACTTCCCAAGTCATTGTGGGAGCTGAACCATTGGGAGACTGACACTGACAAAGGGCCGGCTGTGGCTTCCCAGACTCCACTCTGTGGTGCCTCCCACCTCCTGTCTCTGCGGCCTGCCTCTGACACACCCCCGCCACCTCCCCAAGGGCTTCCTTACTGTTGGAGGCACAGTTACTGCTGCCATCATCACTATGTTGGCAGTGGGTCCCTGAGGGGCAGTTGAAATCATTGCACTTGATGTCCCCATCGATGCAGGAACAGCTCTGGGTGCAACCACTGGAGATCCAGGTCTTGCCCACCTGCAGAAGCCAGAGAAAAGAAAAGGAATGAGAGGATGATTCTAAGGAGCCAAGCTCAATCTGCAGGTTCCACATCTGTTGAGTTAAGCAACTACAGGAAGAAAAACTGCATCTGACCTTACAGGTATAGTTCAGTGGCACCTGGCCTGTATAGAATCTACCAGAAAGAGTATAGAAGTAGGGCTTTGCCTTAGGGTACTTGGCTACAATCCCCAGTGAGGGGCTAGGGATGTGATTCTACACAGAAAGCTTGCCTACAATCCTGCACTATGGGTAAGGGAGTCTGGATCAGAGGTAGCACACCTGCCTAGAATCCCTCAGTGAGGGGCTGGGGTGTGGCTCAGTGTAGAGCACCTGCTGAGAACACCCCAGTGAGGGGCTGGCTGAGATGCTCACAGGAGAACATTTGCCTAGCATGATCCAGGCCCTGACTGATCTTCACAAAGTAGGGCTAGCCATACAGACAGATGCATCCAAGATGGAGAGAAACAGACAAAGGGAAAAGGTCATCTATAATCTCTCATCTTTTTATGTTTGTGTGAATCATTGTATGAGAGCACAGGTGTGTATACATGTGGGTTGGGGAGACAATCTCAGGTGTTGGTTATGACCTTCTACTTTGTAATGAGACACGGCCCCCATTTCTGTTGTTGTTTCCCTCTGGATACAGAAGACTATATGGCTCCCCAATTTCAAAGGGTTCTCCTGTGCCCCTCCCCCTGCCCAATAGCATCCCTAGGATTATAGACACAGGCTGTTCCATTCAGTTTACATTGATAGTGAAGATTAGAACTCAGACCCTCAGTTGGTGCTGGTGGTGGCGCACGCCTTTAATCCCAGAACTCAGGAGGCAGAGGCAGGAGGATCTCTGTGAGTTCGAGGTCAGCCTGGTCTACAGAGTGAGTTCCAGGACAGCACCCAAAGCAATACAGAGAAACCCTGTCTCGAAAAACAAAACAACAACAAAACAACTCAGATCCTCCTCACATTTTCAGAGCAAACATTTAACTCAGTCATTTTCAAATTCCCCCACCAATCCCACTTTAGCTGCCCACTCACCAAGATGAGGTTACCCTGGGCATCTTTGCAGCTACATTGAGCTTTGGGAACACACTTGTCCTTATGCAGCACGTAGCCAAATTGACAGATACAGCCCTCCTTGCAGGAGGAGGCTTTGGGGCTGGTGCCCTTGCAAAGGCCACCTGGGTCCGAGCAGGAAGGCAGACAAGAGGGAAGGCAGTTGGGGCAGCGGCTGTGAGCTGGACACTGTACAGCTATGGAGTGGAGGGAGGATAAGTTAGGGACAATAAAGCTGGTGGAGGGGATTGGTGAGGGGGTAGCAAGGAGGTAGGGACTATAGACACAAGACAAGAAGGCACAATGGCCAACAGAACTCAGGGTTTTTCTTCTTTTGTTATGCATTCAGCAAACATTTACTGAGCTTGGACTGTGTGCCAAGCCCCAAGCTAAAAAAAACAATGGTTTTCTCAAGTTAATATGGGAAACTATTAAGAGACTAGCACTTGCTGGGTGGTGGTGGCGCACGCCTTTAATCCCAGCACTCAGGAGGCAGAAGCAGGCGGATCTCTGTGAGTTCGAGGCCAGTCTGGCCTACAAAGTGAGTTCCAGGACAGGCTCCAAAGCTACACAGAGAAACCCTGTCTCGAAAAGCCAGAGAGAGAAAGCGGGGGCACTGAGAAGACTGAGAAGAGACTGTTTGGCAAACATTTACTGACACGGGCTGTGTGAAAATCCCTGAGAGAAGAAAACGTAGATCTCCCAAGGCATCATGGGACACTAATTCTGATGGTCAGTTTTAATTCTCAACTTGACAGAATGTAGAGTCATCTAGGAAGAGTCCCAATAAGGGCTTGTCCAGGTCAGACTGGAACCGGAACCATCTGGTACATTAATTGGTGTAGGAGATCCAGCCCATTGCGGATGGCAAAGTTCCCTGGGTTTGGCCCTGGGCAGTATAGAGAGAGCTAGCTGAGTATGAGTGAGCATGCTTGCTTTGCTCTTTGTCCTGACTACAGCGCCTGGGAGTAGCTCTCTACGTCCCCACTCCCTTGACTCCCCTACAATGATGGACTACAACTGTGAGCCAAAAGAAGGCCTTTGTCCCCAAGTTTCTTCTTGTCACAGTATTGTGCCACAGCAGCAGGAATTAACTACTATATTGACCACTGAGAGACTAACACTGAGAAGGGACACAGCCTCACCAAGGTCCCATGTTACTGCATCCAATCCCTGAACTCCCAGGCTCAGGGGACTAAGTGCCTTCCTTCCCTGCCTCTGAGTCCTCCCATCATGAGGACAGTCTCTCCACCTCCCCTCATGGTTCCCTTACTGTTTTCAACACAATTACTGCTGCCTTCCTCGATGTCCTGGCACTGAGTCCCTGCGGGGCACTTGAAGTCATGGCAGTGAACAAGTCCTTCCACGCATGTGCATTTCTGGGAACAGCCTGTGGAAATCCAGGTCTTGCCTGCCTACAGAAGCCACAGGAGGATACGGGAAGTAAGGACAAAGGGGCCAGTTGTAAGGAGACAGGCTTAGCCATTTGCCCTCCTTACCTGAAGGCTCCACATCTAAGTCAACCAAGCACAGGTAGGAAACACAGGGAAAACTGTATCTGGAGCTGTTCAGCCGTAGAGGGCCTATGTAGACTCCACCAGGAAGAAGGTGGGAGCAGGGCTCTGCCTTAGGTTATCTGTCTACAAGCCCCCAGTGAGGGGCTGGAATCCCCCAGTGATAAAGCATGTTCCTAGCCTGTTCCATGACCTGGACAACTCCAGGGCCAACAATACAGTCATGATGTACATTCCAGGCTCACAGAACAGAAGGAAGCAGGAAGGGGCCCCGATCCCAAATTCTATGTCCACTCACCAGAATGGGGGTGCCCTGGGAGTCTTTGCAGCCACATTGAATTCTGGGTATACACTTGTCCTTATTGAGCACAAAGCCAGGCTGACAGAGGCAGCCTTCTTTGCAGATGGAGGGGGCTCTGAGGCCTTCAACCTCACAGTGCTCATTCAGGTTGGAGCAGGATGGGATACAGGAAGGGAGGCAGTTGGTGTGGTGGCTGTTGTCTGGGCATTCCAGAACTATGGGGTAGAAGGAAATGGGATCAGTGCATAGAGCGTGAGAGAGCCTAAGGAAGTAGGGAAAACGGAAACTAGGCTGGGCAGGATGACAAGATGAGCTTGTGATTTTCCCCTTTGTTTATCCAGACAGCAAACCCTTAGTGAGAGGAGTGGGCCTCCCAAGTCAGTGTGGGAGCCAAGCCACTGGGAGATGAGCACTGAGGAGAGACCCTGCTGTGGGTCCCCAGTACTCCCCATGGTGGTACCTAGTATCCTGACCTCTTGGGCTCAGGAGACCAAGTTCCTTTTTGTTTTATTTCTGATCTGCCCAGCTATGCACACACCCTCTCGATCTTCCCATGGCTTTCTTACCAACTTTGGCACAGTTACTACTGCCATCACCATTGTCTTTGCACCGAGTCCCTGAGGGACAGTGGAAATCCCGGCAACGGATGTTCCCTGCCAGGCAGGTACAGTTCTGGGTACAGCCTTTGGAGATCCAAGTCTTGTCTGCCTGCAGAGGTCACAGAGAGGGAAAAGAAGTAAACAGAGATGGCAGTTCTGGGTAGACAGCTTTCTGCTCTGTCTGAAGGACTCACATTTGTCCTCCCTGTCCACAGCTTTCACTCCACAGAAACACACTGAAACAACTATTACAACTGGGAGTTTGGGTATATCTGAGTAGGATTGTGTTTACCTAGAATCCCCAGTGAGGGGCTGGGGTGTGGCTCAGTGGTAGAGCACCTGTCTAGAATCCCCCAGTGAAGGGCTGGGGTGTGGCTCCGTGGTAGAGCTCCTGCCTAGAATCCCCCAGTGAGGGGTGGGGTGTGGCTCAGGGGTAGAACAACTGTGAACAATCCTTAATAAGAAAGGGTTGTGGCTCAGTGGCAGAGCTATGGCTGAGAAATTTCCTGCAGGGGTTTGAGAGCATAGCTCAGTTATAGAGCAAGGCTGCCTAGTACTTGCCTCGAATTCCAACTAATGAACATGTAAGGGAGATGTGTGGATAAATGAAGGAGCACTTACTTAGCGTGTGCCAAGCTTGACCAGGCTTCATGTTGCAAGGTTAGCCATAAAGACAGGAGAGCGCCTAGGGTCAGGTGGCAGTGGTGCACACCTTTAGTCCCAGCACTCAGGAGGCGGAGGCAAGTGGATCTCTGTGAGTTCGAGACCAGCCTGATCTACAGAGTGAGTTCCAGGATAGGCTCCAAAGCTACACAGAGAAACCCTGTCTTGATAACAAACAAACAAACAAACAAACCAGGAGAACTTCACAGGGACAAAAGCAAAGGGAAGGAGAAATGGCTGCCAATCCCACTTTGAAAAAACATCTTTTATTACACTTTTTTCTTTCTGTGTGCACAAACATGTTTTGACCACCATGTGGTGGCCAAAAAACAACTTTCTAGAGTCAATTCTCTCTTTCTGCCATAGAGATTCTAGAAATTGGCTTGGCCTATAAGTTAAGTGGCTTTACCTATGGAGCCATGTTTGTTTTTGTTTTTTTGTTTGTTTGTTTGTTTGTTTTGAGACAGGGATTCTCTGTGGCTTTGGAGGCTGTCCTGGCACTCGCTCTGTAGACCAGGCTGGCCTCGAACTCACAGAGATCTGCCTGCCTCTGCCTCCCGAGTGCTGGAATTAAAGGTGTGCACCACCAACACCCCATTGGTCCACTACTTTTTAAAATTACTTTTATTTTATGTACATTGCTGTTTTTCCATGGGTGTTGGGTTCCCTAGAACTGGAGTTACAGACAGTTGTGAGCTGCCATGTAGGTGCTGGGAATTGAATCCTGGTCCTCTGGAAGAGCGACCGCTCTTAACCGCTGAGTCATCTCTCCAGACCCTACTTTTTTTTTTTTTTTTTTTTTTTTTAACTAATCTTTGTGTGTGTGTGCTCTCTGTTTAATCATGGTATACTTATGTGTGGAGGTCAGAGGACAAATCTTGGGTGTTGGTACTCACTTTTCACCCCATAACTAGATATCCAGACATCACAGACTAGCAAACTCCTATCTCTTCCTCCTGTCTCACATAGAAACCCTGGGGTGACATAAAGGCCTCAGGCTGACAGTTCACTGAACTGTGGAGACTCCAAGCTTGTTCTCCATTTGTGCTGAATCGGGGCCTTACTGAGCCATCTGCCCAGGCCCACCAGTCTTACATTTGGCACACACTCACCGGGATGAGAACACCATGGGCGTCTTTGCAGGCACACTGAATTCTGAGTACACACTTGTTGTTATGCAGCACAAAGCCAGCTCGACAGACACAGCCCTCCTTGCAGGTGGAGGGGGCTTTTGGGCTGGTGCCCCCACAGAGGCCTTCTGGGTCCGCACAGGAAGGTAGACAGGAGGGAAGGCAGTTTGTGTAGCGGCTGTGGGTGGGGCACTGCAGAGCTATGGAGTAGAGAGACTAGTGTTAGCATAGAGGGACAGAGGGGCCCAAAAGACAGAGGCTGCAGAAACTAAGTTAGGATGAATAACCAACAAAACTTGTGTTTTTCACTTTTTTGGGTTTTATTTTTCCTTTTGTTATTCATTCAGCAACCATTTCCTGGCATGGGCTGAATGCCAGCCCTAAGGAGGGAACCAATGACTTTATCTCTCAAGTCAGTGTGGGAGCCTAACCATTGAGAACTTAGTACTGAAAAGGAATGCAGTCAGGTGGCTCTTTGCTGTGCCTCTGATCCCTGCACCCTTGAGCACACACACCTTCCCACCTTCCCTCCATCATCCTCTTACTGATTTTGGCGCAGCTACTGTTGCCATCCTGGTCATCCTGGCACTGAGTCCCTGAGGGGCAGTTGAAGTTGTGACACTGGACAGCCCCTCCCACGCAGGACCAGCACTGGGTGCAGCCCCTGGAGGTCCAGGTCTTGCCTGCCTGCAGAAGCCACAGGAAGAGAGAGAAGTGAGGACACAGAGGCTGCTCCAGGGACACAACCTCACCTCCTGTCTGCACAGCTTCAGTCTGCCCTCCCTATCCATATTGGAAAAGAGAACCATATGTGGGGAAGGGGAATTATCAGCTCATTGGTAGATCGGGTCCTAAATCCTCAGCAGGGACCTCTAAGAATAGCTCAGCCACACAACTCACTGGCCAGGAATAGCCCAGTAAGTGCTTGAGCTCCTGCCTAGAATTCTCCAGTGAGGAGCTGGGGTGTGTCTCAGTGGCAGAGCCCTGCCTAGAATCCCCCAGTGAGGGGCTGGGGTGTGTCTCAGTGGTAGAGCCCTGCCTAGAATCCCCCAGTGAGGGGCTGGGGTGTGGTTCTGTAGTAGAGCACCTGCCTAGAGTCCCACAGTGAGGGGCTGGGGTGTGGCTCTGTGGTAGAGCACCTGCCTAGAATCCCCCAGTGAGGGGGTTGGGTGTAGCTCAGTGGTAGAGCCCCTACCTAGAATCCCCCAGTGAGGGGCTGGGGTGTGTCTCAGCGGTAGAGCCCTGCCTAGAATCCCTCAATGAGGGGCTGGGGTGTGGCTCTGTGGTAGATCCTCTGCCTAGAATGACATTCCACCCATCTCCAGCAGCGAAGAACAAAACAAACACCACCAATAAAACCACGCAGGGCATTTTGGTTTGGGGGTGTGGCTCAGTGGTAGAGCTCTTGCCTAGCCTGTGCCAGAACCTGAACAACCTTCAAACTCAAGGGCCAGACATACAGACAGGAACATTCCAGAAGGAATTCGATGAAAGGAAAAGTGGCCCACAACAGTCCAATTAAAAAAAAAAATGTTTCATATGGCTCCAGAGATGACTCAGCTGTTAAGAGCACCTGCTGTCTTGTAGAAGACCCAGATTCAATTCCCAGCACCACACAGCAGCTCACAACTCCTGTAACTCTAATTCTAGGGGATCCAATGCCTTCTTTTTTAAAAAAAATTATTTATTTTTATTTTATGTGCCTTAGTGTTTTGCCAAGGGTGTTGGGTCCCCTGAAACTGGAGTTACAGACAGTTGTGAGCTGTGGATGCTAGGAATTAAACCCAGGTCCTCTGGAAGAACAGTCAGTGCTCTTAACCACTGGAGCCATCTCTCCAGCCCCTCCAATGCCTTCTTTTGGCCTCTGTGGGCATCCGGTTCCCAAGTAATATACATGAATACATGCAGTCACTCACACACATAAAATAAAAATAAGTCTTTTTAAAGCCAAGCGTGTTTGACTATGAAGAATTTGTGTGTGTGTGTGTGTGTGTGTGTGTGTGTGTTCATGTGTGTGAGTGCTAGCTCACATGCTCATGTAGTTCAGAGGACAATTTCAGGTATTGGTTTCTGGGGATTGTCCTGTCTCTGTCCAGCATTTTCTGGTAGAGTGATAGATTAAAGACACAGGTAACTTTGCCCATCTATAATGGGTTGTGGAGATTCAAACTCAGGTCCTCACTTGTGCACAAGAAAGCAACTGACCCATTGAGCTAGCATTCCCAACCCCATTTCCACACCCACTCACCGGAATTAAGTCACCCTGGGCATTTTTGCAGCCACAGTGAATCTGGAGCACACATTTGTTATTATTCAGCACATAGCCAGGTTGACAGATACAGCCCTCCTTGCAGGTGGAGGAGACTTTGGAGATGGTAACCCCACAGAGGCCATCCAAATTAGCACAGGAAGGTAAACATGGGGGAAGGCAGTTTGTGTAGCGGCTGTGGGCAGGACATTGCAGAGCTATGGGGTGGAGGGAAATTGGGGTTAATGAATGGGGGGCCCAAAGAAGCAGAGAAATATCCCATGGAGCTTCAGGATTTTTTCCTATCATTATTAATTTTGAAAACATTTACTGAGCCTGGTATGTGTGTGTGTCAAGCCCTTAGAAAAATAAGAAGAATGGATCTCCCAACTAAATGGAGAAGATTAACCATTGAGAGACCTGCCCTGAGAAAGGTCTCGGCAGAGCCAAAGGGCCACAGACTCCCGTCCATTATGGTAGCTAGTATCTCAACCTCTGAGGCCCAAGGGACTAAGTTCTGTGTTACCCTGTCTCTCATCCCTCCATCCATGAGCACACCCTCCCCACCTCCCCCCAGAGCCCCCTTACTGATTTTGGCACAGTTTCTGCTGTCATCATTGTTGTTCTTGCAGTAAGTCCCTGGGGGACACTGGAAATTCCTGCACTGGATGGTCCCTCCCATGCAGTTACAGGTCTCTGTACAGTCTTCGTTGATCCAGGTCTTGCCTGCCTGCAGAAGCCATGGTAAGAGAAAGGGAGTGAGGAAGAGGCCAGCTCCAAGGAGACACCCTCACTGTTCTGGGGTATGTAGGCTTGTCCTCGCTGTCTGCAGGTTCCACATCTCCAGGGGAAGATATATGAAAACATAATTGTATTAGGGGGTGTGGGGCATATCTCAGAGGCATGGATTCCTGCAGTCAGGAGTTGGAGGTTCGACTCAGTGAAGGACAGCTAGACTAGAATTCTCAGTGATAGAGCACTTGTCTCTCCTGTGCCAGGCCATGACTGTCCTTCACTGTCTAGGGTCACCTCTAAAGAAAGGTGCAACACCTTCATTCCTAGCATTTAGGAGACAAAGCCAAGCAGATCTCTGTGAGTTCCAGACCTGCTTAGTCTGTCTACATAGTAAGTTCCAGACCCTGTCTCAAAAAACAAAACTAAACAAAAATACAGGCGCATCCCAGGTTAACAAAAGTAGAGGGAAGAAGTGAGTTCCACTTTTAAATCTGTGTGCATGTGTGTGTGAGTGTGTAAGTGTGTGAGTGTGTGAGTGTGTTGTGAGAGAGTGTGTGAGAGACAGTGTGTGTGAATGTGGGTGTGTGAGAGTGTGAGAGTATGTGTGTGAGTGTGAGTGTGTGTGTGTGAGAGAGAGAGTGTGTGCTTTCATGTATGTTCATGTGTGTGGGAGCATTTGTGCATGTATGTATGTAAGTCAGAATATAGCCTGGAATGTTGGTCCTCACCTTCTACCTTGTATTGTGAAGCTAACTGTCTCTGTGTAATCATAAGACTGGCCTACAAGTTTCTAGGGATTCTCCTGTCTCCCAGTAGAAGCTAGAAGCTACCATGTCCAGCTCACATAGGTTCTGGACATTCAAACTCAGGCCCTCACATTTGCAAGGCAAACATTTTAGCCAGTGAGCCATCTCCTCAGTCACCCACCAGTCCCTCTTTCCACACCCACTCACGGGAATAAGGCCACCGTGGCCATCGTTGCAGCTACACTGAATTCGGAGAACACACTTGTCATTGTTCAATAAGTAGCCAGGTCGACAGATGCAGCCCTCCTTACAGGTTGTGGGGACTTTGGAGCTGGCTTCCTCGCAGTGGCCATCCAGAATGGCACAGGAAGGCGGACAGGAAGGAAGGCAGCTGGTGAACTGGCTGTGGGCGGGGCACTGCAGAGCTTTGGGGTAGAGAGAGAGGAGTCAATGAGGGAATCCAAGGGAGCACAGGTTATAGAAACCAAATTTGGCAGAATGAGCAATAGCTCTTTGAGCCTTATTTTTCTTTTGTTATTCATTTAGTAAACATTTACTGAGCATGGGCTGTTGTGCCAAGCCCTAGGGAAAAAAGGTAAAAGTAACTTTTTTTCTAGTTCAGTGTGGGAGACTAAAAACAATGGCTCTCCCAAGGCAGCAGGGGAGACTAACCAATGAGGAGGGACTTACACTGTAGAGCCCAGCAGGGGTCCAGAGTCTTTCCCCACTATGGTACCTCCTATCCCCAACCTCCAAGGCCAGAGGACTGACTGCCCTCCTTCTTGCCCAGCCTCTGATCCCTCCAGCCATGAGCACACCCCCCGCCCACCTTCCCCCATGACTCCCTTACTGATTTTGGCACAGTTACTGTTGCCATCACTACTGTCTTTGCAGTAAGTCCCCGAGGGACACTGGAAATTCTGGCACTGGATGGCGCCTCCTGCACAGGGACAGTTCTGGGTGCAACCCCTGGAGGTCCAGGTCTTGCCTGCCTGCAGAAGTCATAGGAAGAGAAAGTGAAGGTGGAGGAGCTTGTCCTAGGGAGACAGACTCAACTCCTGTCTGAAGTATTTGCATTTGCCCTCTGCCTATAGGTTTCACATCTATTGAATCACCAACCAGAGATGGAAAATATTGAAAAAAGAATTATATCTAGGGCAAGTGGGTTATCTCAGTGGTAGAGACCCTGCCTAGAATCCCCCAGAGAGGGGCTGGGGTGTGGCTCAGTTTTAGAGACCCTGCCTAGAATCCCCCAGAGAGGGGCTGGGGTGTGGCTCAGTTTTAGAGACCCTGCCTAGAATCCCCTGTGAGAAGCACTAGAAGAGGCTCAGTGGCAGAGTGCAGGCCTAGAATACTCAGAAGGGGCCTCTGAGCACAGCTAGGTCACCCAGCTCACTTGCATACAATCTTCATTGAGAGGCCAGGTGCACGGCTCAATGGTGGTGCTCTACCACCCCCAGATCTTGACCAACTTTTAGACTCAAGAACCAGCCAGAGACGAGTACATAGGAGGAGGTCAGAGGAGACCTTGTGTGAATCAGTTCTTTCCTTCTACCATGTGGGTCCTGGAGACTGAACTCAGGTGTTCACACTTGAAGGCAAGTATCTTTACCATGGAGCCATGTCTCTGGCCCTCAACTTTGTAAGAATTAATCTTTTAGTATGTATATGTATATACAGTATGTGCATGCATGTGCATTTGTGTGACCATGCACACAGAAAAGGCAGTCAGAGAGCAGGCTCCAGTTTTGAGTTCACTTCTCCACTTTGTCTTGAGACAAATTTGTATCTCAACTTCCTTCTTTCATTGTTGATACTGTTCTTCCCTAGCTTGCCAGTTTCTGGGGATTGTATGCATAGCTTAACATGGTTTTATGGGATTTGAACTCAGGTCCCCACACTTACTTACACAGCAAGCACTTCCTTCCCAGCTGCCCCAGTCCCAGTGCCCACACCCACTCACCGGAATGAAGGTACCCCGGGCATCTAGGCAGTCACAGTGAATTTGGAGCACACACTTGTTTTTATTCAGGAAGTAGCCAGGTTGACAGAGGCAGCCCTCCTTGCAGGTGGAAGGGACTTGGGGACTGGTGCCCTCACAGCGGCCATCCAGGTTGAGACAGGAAGGTGGGCAGGAGGGAAGGCAGCTTGTGAAGTGGCTGTGATCTGGGCACTGCAGAGCTATGGGGTGCCCGAAGAGAGGGGTTAGTAGCGAAGACAAGAGGGGCCTGAGAAGCACAGGCTACAGAACCAGGCTAGGCACAGTGACCAAGACGACTTGGGGCTCTCCCTCTACACCTTCAGTATCCATTCGAAAAACATTTACTGATCATGGCCCTTGTGGCAAATCCTGAGAGAGGAAAGTAAAAAGACTCACTCCCACGTCAGTGTGGGAGATCAGCCACTGAGAGACTGACATTGAGAGGGGACTCGGCTGCAGTTCCCAAAATCCACCCCCACTGCTGGAAGAAGCTCCTTGGTGCCTTGCCTCTGGTTCCTCCAATCAGAAGCCCACCCTCTCTCCCTTCCCCACGGCTCTCTTACTGATTTTAGCACAGTTACTGCTGCCATCATCCCTGTCCTTGCAGTAAGTCCCCGAAGGACACAGGAAATTCCGGCACTCGATGGTCCCTCCCACACAGGTACAGCTCTGGGAACAGCCTGTAGCGATCCAGGTCTTGCCTGCCTGCAGAAGCCATGGGAAATGGAAGGAAGTGAGTTTCTTCTAACTCAGTGTGGTAGTTTTTATTTCTCGTGTGTGTGTGTGTGTGTGTGTGTGTGTGTGTGTGTGTGTGTCCGTGTGAATATATGCATTCGATAGTCCATATGCATGTGCCAGAAGACACATCAATCCCTGGAAGCTGGAGTTCTAGGTGTCTGTGAGTTGCTGGGATCCAAACTCCAATCCTCCTGATTGAGTGGCGTGTGCTCTTAACCACGGAGCCATCTCTCTGGCCCCTAGTTCTCAGTAGACTACCTCACTTCCTGTCTGGGATACTTACATTTGCCCTTGGTGTCTACAGATTTCCCATTAGTGAGTCTATCAGCTATGTCTCTCTACCACTCTGATTTCCCTGCTTACTCACCGGAATGAAGCCGCCCTGGGTGCCTTTGCAGCCACACTCAATTTTGAGCACACACTTGTCATTAGCCAGCACATAGCCAGGTTGACAGGAGCAGCCCTCCTTGCAGGTAGAAGGGGCTTTAGGTGTGATGCCCTCACAGTGGGCATCTGGATCCAAGCAGGAAGGTTGACAGGAGGGAAGGCAGTCGGTGTAGAGGCTGTGGGCGGGGCACTGCAGAGCTTTGGGGTAGAAGCATAGCAGGGTTAGTGGAAAGGGCACAAGGAATCAGAGGCTGTAAATACCAAGCTAGGCAGAATGACTAACAGAGTTTGGGGCCTTTCTCCTTCTCCTTAGTGTTCATTTAGAAATCATTCGCTGAGGATGGCTATGTGTCCAACATGGAGGACAGGTGGAAAGAATCGTTTCTTCTAACTCAGTGTGGAAGACTAACCCTGAGAAGGGACTCAGCCACACCCTATGTCCCTAGAATCCCTCCCTACTTGGAACCTCCTATCCATAACCTCTTAAGTGGGGACTAAGCTTCTTCTTGCTCTGCCTCAGACTCTTCTAGTCGTGAGCATACGTTCCACTTTCCCCCATAGTTCCCTTACGGATTCTCGCACAGTTACTGCTGCCATCATTGCTGTCCTTGCAGTAAGTCCCTGAAGGACACTGGAAATTCCGGCACTGAACAGCCCCTGCCATGCAGGTACAGCTCTGGTTACAGCCTCTAGGAGTCCAGGTCTTGCCTGCCTGCAGAAGCCACGGGACAAGAGAGGGACAGGGGACAGAGGGGCTGGTTAAAGGAAGACAGCCTTACTCCTGTCTACAGGACTTTCATTTTCCCCTCCCATTCTACAGGTCCATATCTATTGCATCAACCATTAGTACACGGAAAATATTTGAACAAATATGGCATCTATGGATGGGGTTTAGCTCAGTAGGGGGGCACTTGCCTAGAATCCGACAGTAAGGTGCTGGCGACTATTTCAACAGAGAGCATCTGTTTAGAATTACCCAGTGAAGGGCTGGGGCATGGCTCAGTGGTAGAACAACTACCTAGAATCCCACAAGGGGCTAGGAATGGTTCTCAGGGGAAGATCACTTGCCTAGTCTATGACAGGACAGACTTTTCTCCACATTACCAGGACATCAATATAGACATGAGCATCCCAGACTAAGAGAGGCAGAAGAAAAGAGGAAGAGGAGGAAGTAGGAGGAGGAAGTAGGAGGAGGAAGTAGGAGGAGGAAGTAGGAGGATGAGGAAGTAGGAGGAGGAGGAGGAGGAGGAGGAGGAGGAGGAGTTCCCATTCTCCATTCTCACCGGGATGAGAACACCATGGGCATCTTTACAATCACACTGCATTCTGAGCACACACTTGTCCTTATCGATCACGTAGCCAGGTTGGCAGACACAGCCCTCCTTGCAAGTGGAGGGGCCTGTGGGGCCGGTGCCTTCACAGTGGCCCTCTGGGTCCAAGCAAGTGGGTGGGCAGCGGGGAAGGCAGTCAGTGTACTGGCTGTTGGCTGGACACTGCAGAGCTATGGAGTGGAGGGAGAGGGCAGTTAGTGGAGGAGGCCCAAGGAAACAGAGGCTTCTGTGCAGTGATCAGACTAGACAAAATGACCAGGAGACCCCCTCCACCCCACCTGCATTAACTATCATTCAATAGGCACTCACTGAGCATGCCCCATTTGTCAATCCAGGAGAGAGAAAATAAGACAAATGGGTCTCCCAAGTCAATGTGGGAGATTAAACATTGAGAAGGGATTCAGCCCAGCCATGGCTCCACAAAATCTCTCTCTACTGTGGTACCTTCTATATCCAACCTCTAAAACGCAAGGGAATAAGCTCCTTCTTGCCCTGCCTCAGGTCCCTCCAGCCATCAGCACTTCTCCATTCCCCCACGGCTCCCTTACGGATTTTAACACAGTTACTGCTGTCATCATTGCTGTTCTTGCAGTAAGTCTCTGGAGGACACTGGAAACTCTGGCACTGGATGATCCCTCCTGTGCAGGTACAGCTCTGGGTGCAGCCTCTGGAGACCCAGGTCTTGCCTCCCTGCAGAAGGCATGGAAAGAGATGACAGGAAGTGAGGAAGGAGAGGTTGGCTAGAGACAGCCTCACCTGTTTGAAGGGACTTAGGTTTGCCTTCCCTATTGCCACTGCACATCTCCTGAGTCAACCAACAGAAGGAAGAAAATATTTGAGAAATATTTCCTTCTGTCACTGTATGCATAACTCAACAGAATAGAACCTGCCTAGAATCACCCAGTGAGGAGGCAGGGGAGGCGTGGGTGATCAGCAAATCCTACGTCTGGGCCCTGGGGGAGTAGGTCAGTGGTAGAATGCTAGCCCTGAATCCTATAGTAAGGACCTGGGGAGCATAGCTCAGTTGCAGAGCACCTGACTAGAATCCTCAGTGATGGGTGGTTGTGTGGCTTTGAAGTAGAATATTTGCCTGGAATTCCCCAGAGAAGCACCTGCCTACCTTGTGCCTGGACCTGAACAACCTTCCCATTCCAGCACCAGTCATACAGACTGGAGCATCCCAGGTGCAGAGAAGCAGAAGAAAGAGCTAGTGGCTCCCAATCCTATGTGGGTTTTGGTTTCATTAGTTGGTTTATTTGTTTGCGACAGGTTCTCTTCTATGTAGTCCTGGCTGGTCTAGAACTTGCTATGTAGCTCAGGTTGGTCTTGAATTTGTAGGGATATACCTGACTATGCTTTCCAAATACTGGGACTAAAGCCACAAGTCATCATCACCTCTCTCTCTCCTCTCTCTCTCTCTCTCTCTCTCTCTCTCTCTCTCTCTCTCTCTCTCTCTTTCTGTGTGTGTGTGTGTGTGCACGCACGTGAATGTGTGTATATGCATGCATGTGTGCTCATGCATGTGTGCGCGCGCACATGGAGGTCAGAGGATCGTTTCAAGTGTTGGTATTCATGCTGTAGCTTGTATTGAAAATTCAGTCTCTCTCTGGGTCTGTCTTTTTCTCTGTCTTCTTTGTTGTTGGTCACCACTGCATACACAAGACTAACTAGCTCTCAAGTTTCTGAGGAGTCTGCTGTCTCCCTTTCCTGTCTCCTAGTAGAAGCACTGGGGCTGTAGACATAGGCTGTTGTGTCCATCTCACAGGGGTTGTGGGGATTCAAACCCAGGTCCAAATGCTTGTGGGATGAACACTTTAAAATGGAGCTATTTCCACAGACCCTGCCAATCCTACCATCCATGCTCACTCACTGGGATGAGAGCACCGTGGGCGTCTTTGCAGCCACACTCAGTTTTGAGTACACACGTGTCCTTTTGCAGCACAAGGCCAGGTTCACAGACACAGCCCTCCTTGCAGGTGGAGGGGGCTTTGGGACTGGTTTCCTTACAGAGGCCCTCTGGGTCCAAGCAGGACGGTAGACAGGAGGGAAGGCAGTCAGTGAACAGGCTGTGGTCTGGGCACTGCAGAGCTATGGGGTAAAAACAGAGTGGGGTTAGTGGAGAGGCCCAGAGGGTGCCTGAGGAAGCAGAACTACAGAAACCAAGCTTGCCATAATGACCAAGAGACCTTGGATTTTTTTTTCTTTCTTTTTGTTATTCATTCAGCAAACACTTCTGGGCATGGCCTGTGTGCCAAGCCTTGAAAGGAGGGGGTTAGAATGGATGGTCCCAAGTCAGTGTCAGAAGGGTCTCAGCAGAAACCTCTCTACTGTGATACCTAGTAACTTGACCTCTTAAGGCAAAAGCCCAAACTCCTTTTTTCCCTGCCTCCAATCCATCCAGCCATGAGCACACACACCTTCCCCACCTTCCCCATGACTCTCTTACTGATTTTAGCACAGTTACTGCTGCCCTCATTATTGTTCTTGCAGTACGTCCCCGAGGGACACTTGAAGTCCTGGCACTGAACAGCCCCTTCCATGCAGGCACAGCTCTGGGTACAGCCTGTGGAGATCCATGTCTTGCCTGCCTGCAGAAGCCACAGGAAGGAATGTGAGGACAGAGGGATTGGTTAGAGAGGTGTCACTTCCTGTTTTGGGGACTCAGGTCTGAATAATTAAGACTACCTACATGGTGTCAAAAACATTGGGGGAAAAATGCTTCTGCTGCTGTGTACATAGCTCAGCAATAGTGCCTGCCTCGAGTTTTCCACTAAGGGTGTGGGAGTGGCCCAGTGCTGGCACTCTGGCCCAGGATCTATAATGGGGACCTGGGACTACAGTTCAGACGTAGCGCACCTGATCAGAACCCCCAGTGATCTGGGAGCTCATGTGACTTAGGTATACTTGTCTACCTCCCTTCACTGAGGGCTGGAGGTATGGCTCAGTGGTAGAGCACTTGTCCAGCCTGTGCCAGGACACTGTCAACCATCATACTTCAGGCATACAGACAGGAGCATTCCAGGCAAGATTTGAGGAAGCAATAAGAAAGTGACCCTTCCAATCCTATGTTGGTTTTCAAACCATTCTCCTGCACAGCGTGAACGTGTGTGTGTGTGTGTGTGTGTGTGTGTGTGTGTGTGTGTGTGTGTGTGTGTGCAAACTATTCACTTATGAGTCTACATCAGAGGGTGTTGATCCTCATCTTCCACTGGGTATTGAGACAGCATTGCTGTCTCTGTCTCTCTTCTGCCCTCCCCCACCTCCCCTCCCTCCCTCCCTCCCTCTTCCCCTCTCCTCATTGATGTTCACTACTGTCACAAGAACAGCTAGCTCACAAGTGTCTGGGGATTCAGGACTCCTAGAGGGAGCCCTGGCATGAAAGACTCAGTTTGCAAGAGTTGTGTGGATTCAAACTTAACTTGCATCACAAATATTTTACTCACTGATTCATCTCTGCAACTTTCACAAGTTGCATGGCAGGTGCCCACTCACCGGGATAAGAGCACCATGGGCATCTTTGCAGTCACACTGAATTCTGAGAATACACTTGTCATTATGTAGCACGTGGTCAGGTTGGCAGATACAGCCCTCCTTGCAGGTGGCGGGGGCTTTAGGGCTGGTGCCTTTGCAGAGGCCCCCGGGGTCAGAGCAGGAAGGTAGACAGGAGGGAAGGCAGCTGGTGAAGTGGGTGTGGGCGGGGCACTGCAGAGCTGTGGGGTGGAGGGAGAGAGGTTAGAGGAGAGGAAGAGAGGGGGGTCCTCCCTGACTCATTTTGTCATTCATTCAGCAAACATTTACGGAGCACACTGCTGTGCCAGGAACCGGGGAAAGAAGTAAGAAGATTCCATCTCTCAGCCAATGTGGAAGATTAATCATTGGGAGACGAGTACCGAGAAGGACCCAGGCCAGCAGTGGGCCCCCTGAATCCCAACCTTTAGGGCAGAGCACCAAGCTCCTACTTGTCCTGCCTCCATTTTTTTTCTAGCAATGGTAGCTACCACACTCCCAGTCCCCATGGATAGCCTCCTTACTGATTTTGACGCAAGTACTACTGTCATCACTGTTGTCCTTGCAGTAAGTCTCCGAGGGACAATGGAAATTCTGACACTGGATATTACCTTCCGTGCAGGCACAGCTCTGGGTGCAGCCCTTGGAGGTCCAAGTCTTGCCTGCCTGTAGAAGCCAGGGATTGAGAAACAAGTGGAAACTGAGTGCATGCTCTAGAAAGCCAGGCTTAGCCTCATGCCTGAAGGGTTTACATGTGCTCTCCCTATCCAGTTTCCACGTCTAAGGTGCAGGCAGTAGGTGTGTTGATGTGGGCAGACAATGCAGAGCTAGTCAGTGGACAGATTCCCACTCTGATCCTCTCTGATAACCCCAGATATTCAAGTCTAGGGCTGGGGTTCCAGTCAGTGGTAGAGAGCCTGTATGGAATCCTTTAATGAGAGCTGCTGCATGGCTCTCTCAGAGTACTGGCCTACTGTGTGTCAGGCCTGAGCAGTCTTCTCATTCCAGGGAGTATCCCAGGCTGAGAGATGCAGATAAAAGGGGAAAGTGGCCCTCAGTCCCAATCTCCACGCCCACTCACCGGAATGAAGGTACCCCGGGCATCTTTGCAGCCACACTCAGTTCTAGGCACACACTTGTTCTCATTGAGGACAAAGCCATGGTCGCAGAGACAGCCCTCCTTGCAGTTGGAGGGTCCTTTGGGGCTGGTGATCTCACAGTGGTTGGAGCAAGAAGGTAGACAAGAGGGAAGGCAGTCCGTGAATTGGCTGTGGGTTGGGCATTGCAGAGCTAGAGTATAGAGAGAGAGTGGGGTTAGTTAGGGAGAGGAGCAGAGGGGGTCATGGAGGCAGTGGTTAGGGAAACTGTGGTGGCTGAATTACAGGTGACTTTGGGCTCTTTTCCTCCTTTTGTTATTCATTCAGCAAATCCTTTTAAGCTGCTGCCAAGCCATGAGGAAAAAAGAAAGAAGATGGACCTCCCAAGTCAATGTAGGAGCAACTAACACTGAGAAGATGATCAGGCCAGCCACAGGCATCCATAACCCCTCCCCAGAGTGGCACTGCCTATCCCTACCTCTAAGGCCCAGGGGCTGAGGTCCTTCTTGCCCTGCTTTATATTCCCCATCCATGAGCACACACTCCCTGCTCTCTCATGGCTCCCTTACTGATTTTGGTGCAGTTAGTGCTGCCATCATCCCTGTTCTTGCAGTAAGTCCCTGGGGGACACTGGATATTCTTGCAGTGGATGACCCCTGCCACGCAGGTACAGCTCTGGGTACAGCCTCTGGTGATCCAGGTCTTGTCTGCCTGCAGATGTCACGGGAAGAGAAGACACCTGAGGACCACGGACCAGTTCTAAAGAGACAGACTCACTTCCTGTCTGAAGATTCCAAACTGCACTTCCTATCTGAGAGTTCTTTATCCACTGGCTCAACACTATAGATTAAATATATATTTTTAATAGGCTAGCAGTATAGTGTCTACTTAGAATTTTCCAGTGGAGTAATGAAGGCATGGAAAAACAGTAGAAGGCATGTCTAGAATTCCCAGTGAAGGCCTTGGGGTGTGGCTCAGTGGTTGAGCATTTCACTACTTTGCACCAAGTCCTGGCCAGTCTTCTCACTACAAGGTCAGCCAAACAGGTAGGATCATCTCAGGTGGGGAGAAGCAGAAAGAAGGCCCTCAAACCCACTTTATAAAAAAAATTCTCTGTGTCTATATGTGATTCGTGTGTGTATGTGAGTACACTTATATGAGGGTACAACACAATCTCAGGAGCTGGTCCTCACGTTCCACCTTGTAGAGATAAAGTCTGTCTTCCTCTTTGGTATTGTACACCTCTACCCATACAAGACTAGCTGCAAGTTTCAGGGACTCTTCTGTCACCACCTCCTGGAGCCCTGGGGTTAGAGACACAGGCTACACCCCAGATTATGTAGGTCCCCATTCTTTCTGAGCAAATATTCTACCCAGTTAGCCATCCCTCTAGGCTCACCAAGCCCATCTCCCACACACACTCACTGGGATGAGAGTACCCTGGGCGTCTTTGCAGTCACACAGAATTCTGAGCATACACTTGTCGTTATGCAGCACAAAACCAGGTCGACAGACACAGCCCTCTTTGCAGGTAGAGGGGGCTTTAGGACTGGTGCTACCACAGAGACCCTCTGGGTCCAAGCACGTGGGTGGACAGAAGGGAAGGCAGTTGCTATAGCGGCTGTGGGCTGGGCACTGCAGAGCTATGGGACAGAGGGAGATTACAATGAGTAAAGAGGATCAGAAGGGCTACTGAACCATGCTAGGCTGAAAGACCAACCGTTTGTCTGCCTGTTTTTCCTTTGCTATTGGTTCCACAAATATTTTCTGATAACAAACTATGTGTCAGGGACAGAAAGGAAAGTTAAGAAAGTGGATATAGGGTGGGAGAGATGGCTCAGTGGTTAAGAGCACTTGCTAGCCTTGCAGAAGACCTGAGTTTGGTTCCCAGTACCCACAACCACCTGTAAACTCCAGCTCCAGGAGACCTAACAGCCTCTTCAGACCCCTGACAGCACCCATCCCGCATAAACAGAAAATACACATATAGACATGTAAATAAAAAGAAATACAATTCATTTAACTTAAAGACGATGTATTTTTAAGTTAGATGTGGGAAACTAATCACTGATACACTAGTATGGCCAGCCCAGCATGGGTCCTCAGAACGCCTCTCCACCATGACACCACCTTATCCCTAACTTCTCAGGAGACTAAGTTCCTTCTTGCTCCGCCTCTGGTCCCTCCAGGCATGAGCACACCCTTCCCACCTTCCCCGTGGCTCCCTTACTGATTTTGACACAGCTACTGTTGACGTCATCACTACTCTTGCAGTAAGTCCCCAAGGGACACTGGAAAGTCCTGCACTGGATGACCCCTTCTATGCAGGTACAGCTCTGAGTGCACCCTCTGGTGATCCAGGTCTTGCCTTCCTGCAAAAGCCACAGGGAGAGAAAGCAAGTGACACCAAAGGTAATGGTTCTGGGCAGTACTTGCCTCCTGTGAAGAGCTTGGTGTACCATACGCCAGCACCAGTTCTACCCCAACTGATTAAAACAAACACTGAAGAGAGTCCTGGGGGAGGGTGGGGGGAGACACATCATGGCTGTGAGAATATCTCAGTCCAGTGAGGTCTGTTGCTCACTTGCAGAGCAGAGGCCTAGAATTCGCTATTGGGTACGTGGGAGTATAACTCAGATGCAGAACCTCTGTCTAGAATCCTCAAATGAGGGGCTAGTAGTGGTTCACGATAGAGCCAAGGCCTAGAATCCTTCAATGGGAGCCTGGGGTTGTAGCTCAAATGCAGAACCTTTACCTAGAATCCTTTAAGAGTAGCTGGGAGCATGGCTCAGGAGTAGAGTAATTGAGCCAGTGCTTCGGGACTGGGAGCATGGCTCAGCTTTAGAGTCTTTGACTAGAACCCTCTAGGGAGGGCTTAGGGTGTGGCTCAGCAGTAGAGAACCTGCTTTACATTCTCCAGGAAAGACCACCTTTCACACTACAAGACCAGCTGCGTAGCTAGGCACATCCCCGGTGGAGAGAAGCAGAAGAAAGGAGAAAATGACCCACGTCCCCAGTCTCACTTAAAAAAATGGTTCTGAGAGTGTATTTGTGTGGCTGTGTGAGTATGGACACAGGTATGTGTGGAGGTCACAAGACATCTCACATGTTGGTCTCACTTCCCACCCCCAATGATGTTGCTGCTTTTCATTGCTACTTACATAACAACAGCTAGCTCACAAGTTTCTAGGGATTATCCTGTCCCTGCTTCCATCTCCTAGAAAGAGCCCTGAGATTATAGACACGCACCACCAAGGCTTACTGTTGGTTATACATATTCAAACTCAGGTCCTCACACTAGGCAGAGGGGAGAGACAAACAGTTTACCCACTGAGCTCTCTCTCCAGCCCTGACCAACACCACTTTAGATGTCCACTCACTGGGATGAGAGCACCCTGGGCGTCTTTGCAGCCACACTCAGTTCTGAGGATACACTGGTCCTTTTGCAGCACATAGCCAGGTTGACAGATGCAGCCCTCCTTGCAGGTGGAGGGGGCTTTGGGGCTGGAGTCTTCACAGTGGCCCTTCACATTAGAGCAGGAAGGTTGACAGGAGGGAAGGCAGTCGGTGAAGTGGCTGTTGGCTGGGCACTGCAGAGCTGTGGAAGAGAGAGTGAGCTTAGGGAGAGGAACATAAGTGGCCAGAGCAAGCAGAAGCTACAGAAACCATACTAGAATGCCCGAGAGTGGATTTTTCCCCATTTGCTACTCATTTACTAAACATTTAGTGATTGTGAACTTTGTTTCAAGCCTCAAGGAAAGAAAGAATGGATCACTTGGAGCTGGAGAGATAGAAGGCTCAGCAGTTATCAGCACTTGCTGTTCTTACAGAGGAGCTGAACTGGGCTGGGCTTACCCAGATAGTGCTGCTCACAGTCTCCTGTAATTTCAGTCCCAGGAGACCCAATCCACTCTTCTGGCTGCCATGCACAGTGCACTCATGTGACAGAAAGACCCACAGACATATGTTAATATGTGCAATTGAAAGTAAAAATGTAAAGATGGATGAGTATCTCAAATCAATGTGGGGGACAACCATTGAGACACTAACCCTGAGAAGACACGCAGATGAGCCCTCCTCACCATGGTGCTTCTTATCTCTGATCTCTGAGGTCTGTCTCGTCCTGCCTCTGGGCTCATGCATACATGAGCATGCATACATTCATACCACAGGCATACAGCCTCCACATGCCCCATGGCTCCCTTACTGATTTTGGTGCAGTTACTGTTGCCATCCTCAATGTTCTTGCAGTAAGTCTCTGGGGGACACTGGAATTTCCTGCACAGGATGGCCCCTCCTGAGCAGGTACAGCTCTGGGTACAGCCTCTGTTGATCCAGGTCTTATCTGCCTGCAGAAGCCAAGGGGATAGAAAGGAAGTCAGGTAGGAGGGGCTGATTGGAAGGAAAGAGCCTCACCTCTGGTCTGCAGGGCTGACCTTTGCCCTCCCTATCAACAGGTTCCACACCATGGAGTAACCTAATCATGGGTGGCAAAAGATCTGGAGTTTAAAAAAAAAAAAAAAAAAAAAAAAAAAAAAAAAAAGATGCCTCTGGGATTGTGGACATAGCCCCATGGTATAGTGGACTCTTTCAGTAAAGGGCTGGAGTGTGGCTCCCTGGTAGAACCTGGCAGAGAACTTTCCTTTGGTGCTTGGAAGCACATTTTGAATGCAGAATCTATGCCTAGAATCCTCAGTGATGAGTGGCAGCAGGTTGGGAAGGGCTTCAGAGGTTGTATCTTAGAGGTAGACCATTTACCTACAATTCTCTAAGAGTCTAGGTTCATGACCCAGCTGTGCAAAATTGCCTAGTATCCCCCGGTGAGAGGCTGGGAGTATGGCTCAGTTGTAGAGAACTTGCCAAGGGTTTGGCTTAGCAGTAGAGCAATTGCCTAGGAATCACTGATAGGAAGATAAAGGCTTCACTCTTTGGTATAACTGCTGCCAACAATCCAAAGGAGGTAGTGGGAGGGTGGCTCAGAAGTAGCATTTAGGCAGACTCCTCAGTGAGTGCCAGGGAATATATTGAAGTGTTAGAACCCCTGACTAGAACTCCAGAGAGGGGCTGAAGGCATGCCTCAGCAGTTGACCACTAGCTTAGCACATTCCAGGACATCACCAATCTTCATATATTGCAGGACTAGCCACACAAAGAGGAAGAGGAAAGCATAGGAAAAGAGAAAGTGGTCCCCAATATGACCTAATCTGACCTTTAAAAAAATGTTTCTGGGAGGGGTGGGGCACGTAGATGTACATGTGAAAGTCAGAAGGCAATCTCTTATGTTGGTCCTCATCTTCCACCTTGCATTGATACAGTCTCTTTCTTTCTCTCCCTTCATCCCTCTCTTCCCTCTCTTCCCTCTCCCTCATCTCTGTTTCTCCCTTCTCTTTGCTGTTGTCCTCCACCCGGACCACACAATACTAGCTAGCTCTCACATTTCTAGGGTTATCCTGTCGGCACCTCCCGCCTCCTAGGAGGATCCCGGGGATTATAGTCACACACCACCAAGGTTAACTTTGGCTGTACACATTCAAACTCACACCCTCACACCAGGGGGTGCAAACATTCGCCACTGAGCTCTCTCCCCAGCCCCCTCAAACCCACTTTAGACGCCTGCTTACCGGGATGAGGACACCCTGGGCGTCTTTGCAGCCACACTCAGTTCTGAGCATACACTGGTGGTTATGCAGCACATGGTTAGGTTGACAGACGCAGCCCTCCTTGCAGGTGGAGGGGGCTTTTGTGCTGACATCCTCACAGTGGCCCTCTGGGTCCGAGCAGGTAGGTGGGCAGGAGGGAAGGCAGTTGGTGTAGTGGCTGTGGACGGGGCACTGCAGAGCTAATGGGGAAGAGAGAATATGGTTAAGGGAGGGGATCACGGGATCAAAGTAGGCTACAGAAACCAGACCTGGCAGAATGCTCGAGACAGTGAGGTGCTTCCCCTGCCTTTTGTTATTCATGCAGCCAATATTTACTGAGTATGAACTTTGTGCCAAGTCCTAGGGGAAAAATAAGACTGGATCTCTTGGGACTGGAGAGAAGAGTTAAGACTACTTGCTGCTCAAGTTAAGGGTTTTGTTTTTTTTTTTTTGTTTTGTTTTTTGGCTTTTTGTTTTTTGTTTTTTTTGGGTTTTTTTGTTTTGTTTTTTTTGAGACAGGGTTTCTCTGTGTAGCTTTGGAGCCTATCCTGGCACTCCCTCTGGAGACCAGGCTGGCCTCGAACTCACAGAGATCCGCCTGCCTCTATCTCCTGAATGCTGGGATTAAAGGCATGTGCCACCAACGCCCGGCCTCAAGTTAAGTTTGTCCTGTTGAAAAGTCTCATGTAATTCAGGCTCCATCTGAAGTCCTCTGTGGCCCCTGCATGAACTGATTCAGGTGCACATACCATATATATAGACACACCATTATACATGGAATTAAAAATAAAATCTTTGAAAAGAATATATCTTTCAAGCTAATGGGGAGACTGACAACTGGGAGACTAATGATGAGAAGGGACTCAGACCAGCCACGGTCCCCACAGTCCAATCCTATCATAGAACCACTTATCCCAGATCTCATAGGCCCAAGGGACTAAGCTTCCTCTTGCCTCGCCTCTGGTCTCTGCAGCCATGAGCACACCCTCTCCGTTTCCCACGGCTCCCTTACTGATTTTGGCACAGTTGCTGTTGCCATCCTCGGTGTTCTTGCAGTAAGTCTCTGAGGGACAGTGGAATTTCTGGCACTGGATGACCCCTCCCATGCAGATACAGCTCTGGGTGCAGCCTCTGTTGATCCAGGTCTTATCTGCCTGCAGAAGCCACGGGAGAGGAAGTGGGAGCATAGGGTTTGTTAGAGAAAGACAGCTTTGCCTCCTGTCTGTAGGGTCTGTGTGTATCCATTTAGCCAACTATGGATGTCAGGTACATGGGAGAGAATGCATTGGAGGCTGTGGACATAGCCCAGTGGTGTAGTATCCACTCCAGGGAGTGGATAAGGGCATAGCTCAGCCCTAGAGTCCTCAACTTCGAGTTTGGGAGCACAGTTCAAATGTAGAGCCTATGCCTAGAATCTCCAGTGGTGAGTGAGTGGTAAGCGGGGCAGTTGGTAGGCTATGGTTTACAAGTAGAATACTTGCGTAGAGTTCTCCAAGACAGTCTAGGGGTGTGGCTTAGAGGTAGAAAACCTGCCCAGAACCTTCCTAGGGGGTCTGGGGGTGTGGCTTAGAGGTAGAGCAATTGTCTAGGACCCATCATTGAGGCCTGGGAAGATAGCTCAGGTGTAGAGCACTTGACTAGGATTCCCAAGAGGGGCTGGCCCATGGCATGATCTAGATCCTTTATACCACCAAGCCAGACATACCAACAGGAGCATCCCAGGTGGAGAAAAGCAGAAGGAATGAAAAAGTGGCCCTCAATCCCAATTTTTACAAAAAGTTTTATGTGTTGGGGGACACAGGAACACACATATATGTGTGGAGGTCAGAGGACAGTCTTGAATATTGGTCCTCATCTGTTACTTTGTGTCAATGCTCTCGCTTTTTCCTTTCCTCCCATCCCCCTCTTTATTGTTATTCACTCCAGCCCACACATTTTAAGGGATTGTCCTGTCCATTTCCCATCTCCTAGTAGGAGTCCTGAGATTACAGGCACACACCAGCAAGGCTTACAATGATTGAATAGATTCAAACTCAGGCCCTCAGCAGTCTTCAGCAAACGTTTTACACTGAGCCTTTACCATCCCCACAAACCCACTTTAGATGCCCACTCACCGGGATGAGAACACCTTGGGCATCTTTGCAGCCACACTGAATTCTGAGCATACACTTGTCATTATCTAGCACGTAGCCAGGTTGACAGGCACAGCCCTCCTTGCAGGTGGAGGGCCCTTTGGTGCCAGAGCCCACACAGCGGCCATCAGGGTCAGAGCAGGAAGGTTGACAGGAGGGAAGGCAATCTGTGTACTGGCTGTGGGCTGGGCATTGGAGAGCTATGGGGTGGAGGGAGATTTTAATTACTGGAGGTGACCTTGAAGGCCCAAGTGAGCAAGCTACAGAAACCGGACTAGGGGGCTGAAGACATGACTCAGTCTTTAAGACTGCTTGCTGCTCTTACACAGCACTTGAATTCAGATCCCAGCATCCATATAAGGTGGCTCAGTACCTCCTATAACTACACCTGCAGGGGACCCAGCATCCTTTCTGGCCTCTACATGCACTGAACTCACACACAGGCACACCATTATACATGTATTAAAAACACCCTTAAAAAGAATGTGGATCTGCCGAGATTTGGAGACTAACAATGTAAAGACTAACCATGGGATCCAGCCCAGCCTTGGGTCTTCACATCCCTCCCCACCATGGTACCCTACCTCAGAGGACTTCCTTCCTTCTCTCCCTTCTGGTCCCTCCAGGCATGAGCACACCCTTCCCACCTTCCCTGTGGTTCCCTTACTGATTTTGGTGCAGTTACTGTTGCCATCCTCAATGTCCTTGCAGTAAGTCTCTGGGGGACACTGGAATTTCCTGCACAGGATGGCCCCTCCTGAGCAAGTACAGCTCTGGGTACAGCCTCTGTTGATCCAGGTCTTATTTGCCTGCAGAAGCCAATGGGAGAGAAAGGAAGTCAGGTCGGAGGGGCTGGTTGGAAGGAAAGAGCCTCACCTCTGGTCTGCAGGGCTGACCTTTGCCCTACCTGTAAACAGATTCCGAACCTATCCTAAACATTGAGGGAAAAGATTTGGGGGAAAATGCATCTGGGGCTATGGATATAGCTTAGTGGCATAGAGCAGTATTAACTCTTGAGTCTAGAACCCTCTACTGATAGCTTGAGAACATAGCTCAGATACAGAAACTCTGCTAGGATCCTCAGTGGTGGTGGGAGTTGGAGAAGGTGGAGCTCAGCTGTAGAGCACTCGCCTAGAATCCTCCAATGAGGGGCTAGGGGCCTGGCTCATGACAGAGTATCTGCTAAGATTCCCCTCTGGGGAGGTAGGCCAGGGGCTGTTTCCGGTTAGGGTTCCCCTGCCCTGCTCAGGAACACCTGACGCCGGGGGTCCGCCCACAAGATCTGAACTCCACTGGAGCCAACACACCCAGAGACTGCCAAGGCCCCAGTAACAGTCCCGCCTCCATCCACAAGAAGAAGACCGATATCAGAGTATTGGAACTGTTTGCATCTACCAGAAGGGAACCTTGGTCCCATACCCACCAGTGGAAGAGACTCCTCCTACACCTAACGGAAGAAAGGATGGGAAGAAGACAATATAAAAGCACATTCAACAACAGAAAAACCAATATGACACCACCGGAGACTAGGGACCCTACACCTCCAAGACCTGAATATCACAATACAGACAAAGCAGAAGAGAATGACCTTAAAAACATCTTCATGAAAATGATAGAGGGCCTCAAAGAGGGTATGAGAAAAATCCCTTAAAGAAATGGAAGAAGAAAACAAACCAAAAAATACAAGATATCAACAAATCTTTCAAGGAAACAGTTTAAGACCTAAAAACTGAAATAGAGACAATAAAGAAAGCACAATCTGAGGGAATGTTGGAAATTGAAAAGATGGGTAAATGATCAGGAACTACAGATGTAAGCATAACCAATAGAATACAAGAGATGGAAGAGAGAATCTCACGAGTTGAAGATACACTAGGGGAAATAGACTCATCAACCAAAGAAAAACTTAAAGTCCACCAAATCCCTAACAAAATATCCAGGAAATATTGGATACCTTGAAAAGACCAAACCTAAAAATAATAGGCATAGAAGGTGAAGAAATCCAACTCAAAGGCCCAGAAAACATATTCAACAAAATCATAGAAAAAAAAAAACCTTTCCCAACATAAAGAAACACATGCCAATGAAAGTACAAGAAGCCTACAGCACACCAAATAGACTGGACCAAAAAAAAAAC